TGGTGTGGATGGCAGCAACCTGAGTGTGGTATATACAGTAGGTTTTCCTCAACTGTCTCAACTTCAGCCATTTTAAGACTTGTGGACTTCAACTCCCAGAATTCCCCAGCCAGCATGCTGGGAGTTGACGTCCATGCCACTTGAAATGGCGGAGGTTGAGAAACATTGATCGGGAACCAAATTTCTGTTTACCCTGATTCTTGGATTCTGTCCCGTTCAAACATTATAAGGTCCTAAACAGGGGCAGGCCAAATAAAAGGCATTGTGATAAATTAATCTTGGCACTCCAAGGTTCCTTAATTATGAATTTTATGAAAAATTTGTTTAGTATTTGGGAGGCAAAGGGTATATTAGTGATCTAAAAATATTAGCATTAAGTTGTTCATTTTAGATCATTCAATCAGAATGTCTTGGCGATGTGGAAAAGAGAAGCTTGGAATGCATTCATTGCAAGAACTAAATCAGGGTTTTGTCTCTATAAAGATAAATGTTTTGACGGTATTATTTCCCCTGACTCTGCATATTTGTACTACAGGAAGATAATCTTCACGGTTAGAGGCAAGGAAATACGTCCCTTGGAATATAACCTCAATTAATGCATCTGGCAGTTCAGAATAGATTGTATTCAACTGCAATCTGTTGCTGACATTCAGAAGCTTGACATCAAAAAGTTAATTTGTTGCGTCAAGGTTGCATTGAAAAGAAATGTTCTATCGATCAATGTGAGTCTACTACAATTCTACTTTTTTAAAAGATCCGATACATGGAAGAAGTTAGAACTATTTAAATTAAGCTGGGTCCATGAAAGTTTGCTAACTAAGCCATAAAATGCAGTTGCAAGGGTCTGTTGAATCTATCTTAAGGTTGCAAAGATAGCAAAGCTTTTGTAAGCGCCGAGTAGGCCACCCAATGCCCCTGTCCTACTCTCAACATCTCAGTGCCAAGTTCTCCATCCCTTTTTGCCTGATTTATTTACCTAAAAACAGGCCACCCCTGCTTAAAAAATACACCTTAGCTTTGACGAAATATGCTAAGATGTCTAAGACTTGGAGTAGCCAACATTCCATGTTCCCTTTTGGATCACAAAACATGAGCCAGGAAAGTTGAAGGTTGTCTTCTCACTCCAAAACATGGTGGCCATGTTAATAAAGTCCTGGGTTTATTTTCAGCTCATCTCCTCACCATTTAAGCCATTTCCCATCATCTACAAAACTCTGTTGCTTGTTGGAAGAGAATAAGAATAAGAACAGAATAGGGAATAGGGAATAGAATAGAATAGAATAGAATAGAATAGAATAGAATAGAATAGAATAGAATAGAATAGAATAGAATAGAATAGAATATGGAATGGAATGGAATGGAATGGAATAGGAATAGAATAGAATAGAATAGAATAGAATAGAATAATAGAATAGAATAGAATAGAATAGAAAGAATAGAATAGAATAGAATAGAATAGATGGAATGGAATAGAATATGGAATGGAATGGAATGGAATAGAATAGAATAGAATAGAATAGAATAGAATATGGAATGGAATGGAATGGAATATGGAATGGAATGGAATAGAATATGGAATGGAATGGAATGGAATAGAATAGAATAGAATAGAATAGAATAGAATAGAATAGAATGACAGAGTTGGAAGGGACCTTGGAGGTCATCTAGTCCAATCCCTGCTTAGGCAAGAAACCCTATATCATTTCAGCCAAATGGCTGTCCGGTCTTTTCTTAAAAACTTCCAGTGTTGGAGCCCCCACAACTTCTGGAGGCGAGTTGTTCCACTGATTACTTGTTCTATCAGGAAATTTCTCCTTAGTTCTAGGTTGCTTCTCTCCTTGATGAGTTTCCATCCGTTGCTCCTTGTCCTGCCTTCAGGTGCTTTGGGGAACAGGTTGACCCCCCCTTCTTCATGACAGCCCCCAAGATATTGGAACCCTGATATCATGTGATGAAAAAGGCTCCACGCTTGCTTAGGTACAGGCAGTCCTCAACTTACAACAGTTCATTTAGTGACCGTTAGAAGTTACAACAGTACTGCAAAAAAAAGTTTTTCATACTTACATCTCGCTAAGTTTCCTGTTTTTTTCAGATAATAATCATCTAAAGTACGAGTGGTGGAGATGAAAAAAAAACTGGTTACTCTTTCCTTATGCTATCCTGGCTAGAGTTAACCACAACTTGATGAGCTGAGGTGTGTGTAATCAATTCAGAAGGAGAAGGCTTGCTGCTAAACAATTGGGATTGTTAGTTATGTCCATCCAACTCGCTTATCTCCAGCTGACATTCCATAGATGCAAAGTTAAGTACGCCGAAGACCATGGCAACAATGAGTGTTTCTACTTTTAGTTGACTGCTTCATCGCGGTGAAGGACGTCATGTTCTTCACAGATCTTCCAACTTATTTATGGAGTGCAGGGACACCAGTGCCAAATAAAAGGCTGTCAAATAACCGGGATTCCACATTCCGTTTCTTTGATTCTGTCGCCTTTTATTTCAGGAATGATGACCGAAGGGTGGATTGAGCAGAAGAACCGAGCAGTTATTTCTCCTATCTTCTCAAAAGTAGCCAAGTTCCCGTGGGAGAAAGCAGAAAGCATCTGTCATTTGAAGAACGGCTATGGAAACACTCTGGGTGTGACATCCTTTTGGAGAAGATCGAGGCCTTTTCTTTTGTCATGTCTTCTTCGGCCAATCTTGTGTTAGTATCTCCCGCTGCTCCTTTAGGAAAGACCATCCGCTTTGTAATGACATTGCTAGTGCCAAAGAACTGGTTGTGTTTCTGTATAATCTCAAACCCAGAGATTACAATCTGTACGTTCTGTAAATTGCAATAGCCAGCAGTATAAATCAGGGGTCTGCTGAGAGGTGGAAGAAGTCGTGGTTGCTTTCGGTGGGCTACACATTCAAAATGGGCAAGTGTGCGTAGAGGAAAGGGTTGGCAAAGCCTGATTAAAGTGGTGGCTACGGAGCTGGCCAAGCTTCCTGTAAATAAAACGGCAAAGTTTTCTGTAAATAAGTAACAGTCCTACCTATTTGAAAACTGGAGCCCTAAAATCATCAAGGAGCAATCTGCATGTCGGGTGGGAAAGACCAGATCCACATGGGAAAGTCCAATCAAATTGATTTATCGCTAAAAAAAGTCAACGCACAAGAATGTTTTTAACCTGCTTGGAGTTAGATCAGGATCAGTGGAATTCAAGGGAGATTGGATTAAGTCCATCTGTGGCGACGTAGAGATTCTAGACTGATTGCTTTTTTGACTCCCCCCCCCTCAAGTTCTGCCGCTCCTTTTCCTACACGGCGCTATTGTTCCACACATTTCTTTTCCCGCTTCACCTTTACCAAATTTGGCTTATTTAAAAGAGCCAGATTTTTACAAAGGATGATTTCTTTCTATTTTTTTTCTTAAAAAACAAAAAACACCATTTAACCTGATCGATTACAATGTATATTATCAAAGAAAAGGAAGCTTAAATTGCCAGTGTCAATTAGCAGAATATTCCAGAAAGCTTTATAATGTCAACGTTTTGAATTTCGGAAATGCTCGCGCCTGCGTCATGCAAAGGCATTTGAATACTCTGCTGTATATTTCACTTCAAATTGAAGTAAAAACGAAAAAAATGTATACAGAAACTCGCTCGGCATACGCAAGTTTTATAAATAATGCATGCCGTGCGTGAGACATCTGCTTGTAATGAAGGATATAATGCGGTGATACGGTAAAATAAGGCAGCCTTTTGAAGGAAAGATTGCTGGATTTGGGGCAAAAAGACGAAGCACAATAGCTGTCCACTGCAGCTAAATTTAACCAGCTGTTATTTCAGTATAAAGTATTTGCGCTTCGTTTTCATTAACGAAGTTGAGCTGAAGAGAGATTGTGGTGAGATCTTACAAGCCTATAACTCTTTTTCCTATTTGGAGCAGCAAGATCTCCCATTCTTTGAATTTTAGTCCTAAATACAGGTTGTTCTCGACTTGCAAGGGCATGGAAAAAAGGTGATTTACAACTGGTTCCTCACACTTAAACTGGCACGTATTAACTGGCACGCATTAACAATGGTTGCAGCTTCCTGGGGGGGGGGTATCCTGTGATCCCCATTTGCAACATTCCCAGACGGCTTCCAATAAGAGGGGGGAGTCAGATTTGTTTAATGACCGTGTGATTCCCTCTTAACGACCGCATGGAATCGCTTAGCAAAAATGGCGAAAACAATGCTCAAAAAATTGGGTGCAACCCATGCACCGCGGCCTTGCTTAGCCGTGGAAATTCTGCTTTTCTATCATGACTGTAAATTGAGGATTACTGCATTTAATGGTGGGCTCGTGGCTGCTCATTCTTCACTGAAAGATTTCTACACAATTTCATTCTTCCAGCTCAGAGGTCCCCCAACCTTTTGGGCACCAGGGACCAGTTCTGTGGAGAGAGGTTTTTCCACGGACTGCAGGGTGTGTGGTTTTGTGTGCTGCCTGCATCCCGTGGATGGGGCTTCGCTTGTTTGAGCGGAAGAATGTGGTGAATCCCTAGTCCAGTGGTTCTCAACCTTTTTAATGCCGCGACCCCCAACCGGTCGTAAGTCAAGGACTACTCAACCGGTCGTAAGTCGAGGACCACTCAACTGGTGCACAACTGTTTGCAGAATGGGACTTTTGGCGGGCTCAGCAGGGCGGAGACAGCCTGGACAATTCCTATTGGCTTTGGAAAGCCAATAAAATTAGACTCTATTCAAGAGAGTCTATTCTATTGGCTTTCAAAAGCCAATAGAATAAAAGGGAGTAGCATAGCTAAGGAAAAGGGGGAAAAAAATGGCGGACTGCGTTGTTTGGTGACCCCCGTGAAATGGTCATTCGACCCCAAATGGGGTCCCGACCCACAGGTTGAGAACCACTGCCCTAGAGCATATGGTCAAAGGATGCACCACACAGAGGTCTATTTGTATCTTAAATTTTGCTTTTCTATCCAAACCTATGGGCAACATCTGACTGGATGCATGCATTAACCTTATGATCTAGATAGAAGGATACTCTGCTCAACTTACATTCTGAGGCTTGTGGACAGCTCTGGACTAAATTCTCCCTCCCCCCCCTTTTTTTTTTTTTAAACCCTATTCAATATTTTGAGGTGGCATTTGAGGAGCCATGCATGCTCACAAAATGCAAATACTCTTCTTCAAAGCAGTTGCTTTCCCCCTGTAAACCACGGGCTACTGGAATCCAGTCAAAAGTTTTACGGTCCTTCAAATGGAGATTGGAGCCAGTGAGGAAATACTAAAATGCAAGTATATACAACTTCTGTCTGTGACGGGCAGAGAAATTCCATGAAAATTAGCAACTCAGCAGTGGAATAAAGTTATCTCCGATGGGAAGGTTGGGAAGTGGCTTCTTATTTGTTGCAAGAAACAATGGCATTGTTACCCGAGAAGATTTAGGATCTTTAAATAAATGTTGAAGGTTTCCTTACCGGCCAAGTATTTAATTAACAACAGACCATAATTTCAAGAGGTTATGCACTCCAAGGAGTTTATGCTAGGGGGGGGGGGGGAATCCATGCCTGTTTTCAAATGTTAAGTGCTGCGTATATGTGTCCAGTTAACATTCTGGAATCACCATGTCAAGTGTTTTTATCTTTTCGTTTTTAAAATTATATGTATGCCAAGGTTAGGAAGGAAGTTCCAAATATTTTCAAAGTGTAATCCATCAGTAAATTTCATTGCCCGTTTCCAGGAATTTCTCCCCCTCCCCAATCAAGCATGAAAGATCAGGTCCAATTAAACTGATTTATTGCCCAGAATTTATTGCTTAGGAATCTTCTAAACCAGTGGTTCTCAACCTTTTTAATGCCGCGACCCCCTAACCGGTCGTAAGTCGAGGACTACTCAACCAGTCGTAAGTCGAGGACTACTCAACTGGTGCAGCACCGTTTGCAGAATGGGACTTTTGGTGGGCTCAGCAGGGCAGAGACAGCCTGGACAATTCCTATTGGCTTTGGAAAGCCAATAGAATTAGACTCTATTCAAGAGAGTCTATTCGATTGGCTTTCAAAAGCTAATATAATAAAAGGGAGTAGCACAGCTAAGGAAAAGGGGGGGAAAATGGCGGACAGCCTTGTTTGGCGACCCCTGTGAAATGGTCGTTCGACCCCAAATGGGGTCCCGACCCACAGGTTGAGAACCACTGTTCTAAACCAATAGTGGGCACCTGCTTGGAGTTAGATCAGAATCAATGGAACCAAGGGGTTCGTTTACGGCTACGTAGGTATTCTAGGCTGGTTCCTCCTTTGACTCCATCCCCACCAGGTTCTGCCACTGCGTCTCCTACACCCCACTGGTTAAATGATTCCAGTTGGTGGGGTCTTTGGAATTCAAGGAACAATTTATTGTGCCACACCACAAGTCACCTGGGTTAGTTTATTAAACATAGGATATTTCCAGGTCAGGCATTGCAAAAGCAGAATACTCACCAGGGGAGACTTCCGATTAAATCCCACCCTCTCCTGATTTAGCCAGGGAGTGGGGCAAAAACATCAAGATGGCGGCCACAACTGTGAGTTTGAAACTCATCTTTTCTTCCTCCAAACGTTCCTGGAACGTTTTAAGTCAGGGATCTTCAAACTTGGCCGCTTTGTGGACTTCAACTCCCAGAATTCCTGAGCCAGCCATGCTGAGGGGAAAGGGAGAGGTTTCCAAGCTGAGCCAGGCTGGCTCAGGAATTCTGGGAGTTGAAGTCCACCAGTCATAAAAGAGCCAAGGTTGCCTACCCCTGGCCTAGTCCATTGTTTCTCCACCTCAACAACTTTAAGATGGGTGGACTCCAACTCCCAGAATTCCTGAGCCAGCCATGCTGAGGGGAAAGGGAGAGGTTTCCAAGCTGAGCCATGGCTGGCTGAGGAATTCTGGGAGTTGAAGTCCACGAGTCATAAAAGAGCCAAGGTTGCCTACCCTTGCCCTAACCCTACACCATTCCAGACAAGTGGCTGTCCAATCTCTTCTCAAAAACCTCCAGTGATGAAGCACCCACAACTTCTGGAGGGAAGGGGTTCCCCTGAGCTTCAAGGAGTTAGAGGTGCAGGGTGGTAGCCCTGTTCCGATATTTGACAAGGGTGATATGGAAGAAATTCAAGAGCAGCCAGGACAGATCTGGATAACCACCTGGCCAAAATGTTGTAGAGGTCCTGCACCCAGTTAAAAACCAAGGTTTTTAAAGAAGAGACTAGACAGTCACTTATTTGAAATGGTATAGGTTCTCTGCTTGAGCAGGGGGGGGGCTAGACTAGAAGATCTCCAAGATCCCTTCCAGCTCTATTCTATTCTATTCTGTTCTATTCTATTCCCTATTCTATTCTACTCTACTCTATATACTCTACTCTACTCTATTCCATTCTATTCTTCATTCCTTCTGTTTTATTCTGTTCTATTCTGTTCTATTTCTATTCTATTCTATTCCTATTTCTATTCTTATTTCTATTCTATTCTTATTTCTATTCTATTCTTATTTTCTATTCTATTCTTATTTCTATTCTTCTATTCTATTCCCTATTCTAGTCAATTCCATATTCTATTCCCTATTCTACTATACTCTATATAGTCTACATTCCATTCTTCATTCCTTCTATTCTTCATTCCTTCTGTTCTATTTATCTATTCCTATTCTATTCTATTCTTATTTCTATTCTATTCTCCATATTTTCTGTTCTATTCTATTCTTCATTCCTATTCTATTCTATTCTTATTTCTATTCAATTCCTATTTTATTCTCATTTTCTATTCTATTCTGTTCTATTCTATTCCCTTTCTCTATTCTTTTCTATTCTATTCCATTCCATTCTTCATTCCTTCTATTCTATTCTATTCTAAAATATTTTAACTTTGCAAATGTTACAGCCCAGAAACTTGAGTTAACAGCCCAACAGCGCCACCTGGTGTCTGTTTTGCCACATAACCGAAGAGAGACTCAAAACACGAGATAAGAGGAATAGCAGACCTTGGAAGGGACCTTGGAGGTCTTCTAGTCCAACCCCCCCCCCACTTAGGCTCGCGACTCTACACCAAAGGGTTGTCCAATCTCTTCTTAAAAACCTCCAGTGATGGAGCACCCACCACTTCTGGAGGTGTTAACCTCTGAAGTACCTAAAGCACTTTTGAGCAATCTGTCTGCTGAGGTAATGTTAGTGCAGGAAAAAACGTTTTCATCTGCTCCAAATCTACCTTTCTGATCTTCCTGAAGGAGCTGAACGTGCAGGAGGCAGCAATAGTTTCTCCTTAAGAGGTCCCCATCTTACTCAAGCCTCTTCTTCCTACTGTTCCAGCCAAATCCTGGAAATACTAGTCTGGGTCTTCTCTCTTCGGGGAGGGAAATGGATCCTTTGATGGTCTTCCTCACTGGAGGATCTCACACTTAGATATGGGCCAGTGGGCCATGCCCTGACCGTTAGTCTGAAGCTTAGAGGCAAGAAAAAGGCAATTCACCAGTGGTTCTCAACCTTTTCAATGCTGCGACCCCCAACCGGTCGTAAGTCGAGGACTACTCAACTGGTGCAGCACCGTTTGCAGAATGGGACTTTTGGCGGGCTCAGCAGGGCAGAGACAGCCTGGACAATTCCTACTGGCTTTTGAAAGCCAATAGAATTAGACTCTATT